CGGGGACGTGCAGAAAGCAGAACACTGCTTGGCTCAGAGTGAAACTTGGTGTTGTGCCTCCAAAGGGTCAGCTTTCACCCTCTTTCCCTAGTTTCCTCGTGTCTCGTCTACCTCTGGCACACACATTCAGATACTCTCCCAAGACGTGAAGTGATGTACGAAGGGCACACCAGGATGAGAGCTGGAAGTGCTGGAGCTCAGTTTTCCCCGGCAGTCCGGCTCTCAGCTCCCTGGCTGACATTGCCTTCCTGTGCAGGAGCTCAGTTCTCCCCAGTAGTCCTGCTCTCAGCTCCCTGGCTGACATTTGCCTTCCCGTGCAGGCACGTTTTTCCATGCCATTGTCCGCCTATCTCAGTTCTTTGGCTCCCGAGATATCATTTTACCTGTACTTTTCCATCCCAGGTGAGGACAAACATGGTGTGATGCAGAGCTAAGACCGGGATGCCAAGAGTTTCAAACGTGCCATCTAGTGGTATGAGCTCGGAGCACTCAAAATAAAGGAAATCCCCTCAAAAATCCACCCTCCTCCAAATACTCGTTATTTCTGAAATGCTCCTGTGTTTTTGGGCAGAAAATGAGTGTTTATGGCCCCTGCTACCCCGTCGGGTTTTCTGAGTGCTGGGGAACTGAGCTGTTCAAGGATTTCTTAATCAGAAGGAGGAACGGGGAGTTTTTTAGTCTGTTATTTAAAGTATATGCTGAGAGGTCTGTAGCTTCATACCAAGAAAACAGAGTTCATGCTGTTACTGCCTCCCGTTGGAGGAGCTGAATCAGCTTTGCAAACAAAATAAATCTTAAATTGAAACACCCTTTATTTGGGGTGGAGGGGAGAGGGAGGTAACAATAATGTGCTTGTCTGTAGCCACGCAGCAGTTCATCAGCAGTGCCCTGTCATGAGATGCCCTGTGTTTGTGAATCCATACTGGGACATATTCTACCCCAGCAAATAACCTGAAGTACTTCCAGCTTCCTCCCCACTGAAGAACAGAGCACTAAAATAGCAAAAGGCTCCAAAAAATCTTTCTAAAAACCTACATTCATCACCAAGATAAGAATAGGTCTTACAATGAGGAGTGTTAAAAGGCATGAGGTTTGTACCACAATTTGGCATGTTGCATGCAGTGAATTACAGCCTGAGTTAAATCTGTCTTGGGTGTTTGTCTTTGCTGTTATCTTCAGTTCAGGCTCTGGCACAGAATTAAAGTTGCTCAGGTTGATGTTTATGTGTGCTTGCTGTTCCTAGGATTTTTACCTAGAGGTCATTGTGTCCTTTTCTCTCATTACCAAGAAACTTGTTTGCTGTTTGCGTTGGATTATGTGATCCATCTGTTGTAGCTACCAGAATAAGTCGGGAGAACAGTTCCATCCTGCCTCACGTGCCCCTCACGTCATCCTTTCCATGCCAGGGTCAGAATTCAGCCATTCCTATTTGCCTCTACAGCTCCAGAATTCATTTGTGAATGCAGCTTGTGTGCAGGCCCATGAGATGAAATAAAAGAAACTGCCAACACTGGGATGACAAACTTCAAATAATATGGCAGATAGATGCCTGTAGAATGAACGAGAAGAGATAAACATCTAAGAATTGCCAGCAAGCAAAGTAGGAAGAAAAAAGTGTGGTAGTATTAAATGCTGTCCTAACTTGGAGTCTGCTTACACAGCTTGGATAAAGCGTAGAAAGAGGATTAAGAAAAGAAATCGAAACCCAGACTTCCAAATGCCCAGAGAAGACCTTTTCTCTGTAGGGTAAGGGTCAAGCTGCTCTTGCATATTGTCTCATTCTGAATCTTTTATGTGTTTCGTGAGCAGCGGCATGTTTCAGAAGTGGGGGTGAGAGGGCACCACTCAGCTCCTCATAAATGTGGAGTATCAAAATTACAGCACAGTGCCAGGCTGTGGGGATGGGAGGAGAAAACAGAATATAAGTCTCCTGCTTCCCAGGTGAGAGACTTCACAAAGGGAAGATGCAGAAAGATAAGTAGCATCTCTTTCCCAAAGAAAACTGTGGTGTAATGCTTTGTGCTGAACCTCAGTGCTGGATTGTGGATCCCTCTGAAAGGCTGGGCAGAGGTATCTACAAGGTTGGTCCTATAATAATTTAATCTTAAGCAAGAGGAAGATTAGTTTGCATCTGGTTTAGTCCTTGAGGTGCCTCTGTGTGGTAACACAAAATGGGACATGACCAAGGGGAAAAAGCCCTGATGTTACTGATGAAGAGCTGTGCAAAGTGCAGGTACTAATCTTGTGGAGGCTGGTTTATTTATTTGGATGTAGACACCTAAATAACACTAAAATGAGTGTTTTTGTCTCACTGGCTGTGTCTGTACTGCCTGTCCCACTCAGGGAGCCACTCTGTCCTCTCAGCCCCTGTCAGGCATGGATGTGTTCAGCCCAGGCAGGTTCCCTACACCAACAGAGCATGAAGACCACTATAAGGTGTTAATTACAATATTCCATTTTTGTTTAGTTGGGGGTTTTATAGGTTGGGTTTTTTTGTAGTGGTTTTCATTTTGAAGCTCCTGGTGCTGCAGTTACCAATTTATTGATTTTATTCTGAGTACAAGAGCTTGAGCTTTAGGACCTGGTCACATACCCAGCTTTTGGTCCTAAGGGCTGAATTTGAGTTTGGTGTGACTTGATTCTCTGATGGTCCTGGAAAGTGCAGATCTTGCTGGGGCAGTGGCAGAAGCCTGCATGGGGACATGGGAACCAAACCTGGGATGGTCTTACCTGTGCTGTAGGATCCTCACTCATTCTGGAGTGATCCATCCGTGCAAACATGCTGGGCTGTGCTCCCTCCTAACAGAGGCCACGGGAATAATCAGAAAGCTGTGTTATTTATTAGACAAAGTGGACGTACCTGGCAGGAAATATTTGTTTGTACTAGTGGGAAGCAGCATTTGACTTTATGACGGCAATGCAGCTCTTTTATTAGTAAAACTTAATGTGTAACAGGATAATTCCGTTGCACCTACTACTATACTGGCATGATTTTGTACAAAATAAGTTTCTTGTTTCCTTGAAGGCCTTACATAAGCCCTAAAACTGGGAATGGATCCAGCGTGTTCGATCACAATAAAGGAGCTGCTTCAGAACAGGCTCTTCTTTGGAAATAGCCGTAAACAGGTTTATATATAGGCACTGCTATTATACACAAAACTTGCTGAAGAAATGTTTCCCAAGATCTCGTGGTTTTACTGTATGCCGTGGGGACCCTGCTCAGGCTAATCTGTGAGCAGACCTGTTGTAGGAATTCAAGGCAAGGTTTAAAACCCAAGACTGTCTCTCAAATCCTTATGTGCTGAAAGGGCTGGGTGTTGAATGGCTCTTTGCTGTAAAAAAGGCATTTGATAAAAAGGCTCGGAAACTTGGGCTGGCATCCTACGTATGCAAATGCGGGTGCTGTCCACGTTATATTTGGATTTCAGGGTTTTTCAGATCCATTTCGAGACGATGGGTAGCAGCCTTATGTGGTTTGATCGCTTGCTTTCATCACCCATGCCCAATTATTATACATGAGATCCATCAGCCCCCTCGCAGCAACAGTTCCTGCAGCTGAGCATCAGCACGCTTGGGAACAATAAAGGGCTGGCACTTGGGAGTTTCTTTCCCTTCTAAATGGGCAGGACCCAAAATTCCTCCCTTGCAGAGCTCACCGATCAGGTTTGTTACTGGAACAGGTACATTTCCATCTGAGCAGCCTGAGGATGTGGGATTTGGGAAGATTTGTTGCCAGTTTACATTCAGCATTGTTGGTTGTGTGCTCTGGTGGAGTTTCGGATAGGTACAGGGCAAACCATGGAAAGGCTCCTGCCTTTGTGTGATTGATTTTTAAGGATAATTTGCCATTTTGTTCCTTGCCTCCTTCCTAATGAGCTGAATTGTTAAAATATGTTAATGTAAGGAGACACACGAGAAAGGGTGAAGCAATCTACTGACACATTGGATAATTAGATCATCTCCTGCGCAGGAAAAAAGTCAAGTACGAAACAGGAACAAGAAGCGCCTCCCTCCCCCCCTGTAGAGGCACCAGGTCTGGCTCTTTCTGCATGCAGAAGCAGGTTAGACAATTAGATCTTTAGTATTAATTAATTTTTGTGAAATTCCTGAAGATTCAGAGTGTCGTGTGTAGTAACTGTCTTGTGTTTTGTCGGTTATTTTTTGGGAGAAGTTGGGAGCCTTGTTTCAGTACAGCCCTTGAGGGTTGTATTCGTGAGCTGCGTAATCTGTGATGAAACAAAAAAATGTCTGTTGCTGGACTGAATTTGTGAATGCTGTAGTGGTTAATCAGGTCTTCCCAGGAAAACAGTTGTGAGTTTTTGTCCTAAATAGGCATTAGCTCAAGGGAATTCTGTAAAGAGGCATGGGACATTGTGGCTGCCTTTCTGCTGGTGTTTGGTGTTTTGGGAAAGCAGTGCTTCGTTCTTCTTATAAGATTTATTTGTCTGAAATAATAATTGGCTAATAATCATTAAGATCCCAGCCCGGTGTGAAGAGATGCCTGCAGGGTGGCTGTGACAGTACTCCGCCTTTACTCACAGGAGTAAGCCCTCTCTGTGGGTTAAGTTTACTTGTTTGATAAACATAACACTTTGCTTTTGTTCTCTTAATCACTTCCTTCGAAGAGTTAACTTCCTAAGCAGCCACAGATTAGTTCTCTCAGTTGTTTTAATTATTTTTCTTGTCACGCACAGTGAAGGTCTCGTGTTTGTGAAATGTCTTCTTTTATTTTTGTCCCCCCTTCCATGGCAGCCTCGGTGACGCTGGCACTGAGAACCCAGCTGAAACACGCTCCCTCTGCACTCCTGGCATTTATTTTTACCCTTATTTTAAACCAGATCTCACTTTTTTGAATGGGAGTGCTGCAGAACACAGCACTTTCCTTTCAGGGTGACCCAAGTGCTCCAGAATGTTGTATTCCCGTAAGGGGTACGCGAGAGGCTGTAGCAGAGGCTTCCACGTGCTTGCTGCTGAGTAATTTCCTTTTGTATTGCTGACAGGTGACTCAAAGCAGGAGGGAGCAGATGGCAGCATCGTTAGCTGGTGGCCACAGCCTTCCCAGATGAGTTTTGGAATTTCCATCAAAGTCGGGATTAGGCTCAGGATATGCCGGTGGCACAGAGCACGCCGGGGGAGCGTGGAAGAAGAGGAAATCATTCATAGCGACTCATCTCGTGGTTGGGTGAGTCAGGGGTCTGCTGTTGGTGGTCAGAAAGGCACGTGGCTGACGACACCGTCTTTGTGTGCTCTGCAGGATGCAAACTGTCTCCAAAAATTAATTCTCCCCGCTTGATTTGTCCAATGAGTTATTTCCAGAAAGGAGTTACTGTATTTTCTGGAATGACTATTGTGAAATTCTTTCTCTGTCCTTTTTTTTTTTTTTTAATACAGTGGGCAAGTGTTCAGCTGGTGATTTATCAACAAAGTATTTTACAGGATCATAGTTAAAAGCTCATCTTAAAAAAAAAAAAAATCATACCCTGTGCAATAGGGAAAGTAAAAGCATCTCAGTTTCCAAGTGATGAAGGAATAACCGAAAGAGCTAGTTCTTGGAATAGTAGCTCCATTGGCACTCGTTGGTGATTTCCTGTGCATTTGCTGCAAGAATCGCTCTGTGATGTGAGTAGGTGGTACTAAAGGGTTATTACGAAACCAGTTTCCAACCAGACGTTTTGAGTCATGGATGGGGAACAGGGATAGCAGCTTCGGAGCTCTCTCTTTGTTCAGGCAGTGCTCCTGAAATGCACACGCAGGATAATCTGTGCTTGCACGGAACAAGGCAGACCGGGGATAGGTCTGGGATCACGTGGAGTGCACTCCTTCATGCCTCTTCCATCCCAGGGATGGGGAATGGGAAACGTGGGCTGCGAGCCGGCGGCAGCGTGCAAGGTGCACACGGAGCAGTTTCCCGACTGTCTTTCAATTGTAAGTATTTCTCATGGCTTTTCCCAGACGTGGGAGACAAAATGGAGTTGCGTCAGGACGGATGCCTGTGCCAAAATGAGGTGGTGGTTTGGAGTGCCTTGGTTCTGTTCTGGAAGCAGATAGGCTGCCACTGGCAGGAGACAGTTGGCTTCTCCATCAGGAAAAAAAAAAAAAAAGAAAAAGGGGTGTTTAAAGGAATTGGTCTGGCTCCTAAACCGAAGGAATTGTTGACCCACTGACTCAGTTCTGAAGCATTAGGGAAGCAGTCTTCCTGTGGTTTCTTTTGTTGGTGGCAGATTCAGAGCCCGGCTGTGAGCGTTCGGGTGTGAGGAGCAGAGGAGAGACAGTTCTGGTACCTGCTGCTGTGGGATTTATTTGGTGCCGGGGAGGAGCTGAGGTGCTGACGGCTGAGCAACACCTGAACTTTATTTCTGATGTTTCTCCCAGTAATGCATTGGTAAGTTTATGTGCTTATTTTCAGTGCTTAGATGGTATCTTGCTAAATGCGATTGAGAGAAAGCTCTTTAGCAGCTCTTGGAAGAGGTGTGTTCATTTTTTTTTACTGGAGCTGCTTTTACAGAAAGCACTGGCTGCCCTGCCACAGTTTAGGAGGAAGGGGGAAACTTTTTGCATCAAGGTGGCAGAAACAATTTGAAAGTGCTGTTTCCTCCCACCTTTAGCCTACAGACCTCTGCTGACATTGATCCTGAGCAAAGGGGATGGGCCAGTGCATCATCCTGGACTCAGGGCTGAGCTGTAATTTCCCTGTTACACTGAATCAACAAGGCTTCAGTCTTGTTGAATTTTACATGAAAATCAGATGTTCATCCCTGGAATTAAATCTAATGATACTTTTCCTAAGATATGCCTAGAATAGAAACGATGTTATTTTTAAGAGGCTCTGCAAATGCCAAGAAAAAAAGATATCAATTAGTGGTTTCTCAAAAAAACCCTAAATCATTAACATACTATTGGCTGGAAGGAATCGTGTTGGCTGACGGAGCTGGTTCTGGAAGTCTTGGTCCCTGAATCTGCTGTCGATTCTGTCGCTGTATTTGGGAGGAATTTTTTGGAAGGGGAGCTTCTTGGGCAAGTCATTATTTATTTTTAGTTGTCAGTGGAATGAGGGGAGTGATATTTAACTTCCCTTTAGTGCTTTACCAGCACTGTTGCTGTGTTTTCCCTTTAGAGAGGATGCTGATAGGGGATATTGTAGCTCTTGGATTTCCAGAACATTGTTTGGAATGCAGAGATCATTAGAAAATGGGGAAAGCAGAATAGTGATTATTGAATTTATTGTGCTCTGTGATGGGTTCTCCAAACACCAGCGGTAGGACTTGCTGGTGCTGTGTCCAAACCATCCTCCGTGAAGGGAAGAATCCACTGCTGCTGTTATTCCCTGGGTGGGTGACACCAGGATGTCTTCCCTTCCCAAACCCAGTTGGGGTGGCAGCTGTGGTGAGGCACTCATGGATTTTTTTCCCCTGTTTTCCAAAACGGGAGCAGAGAAGGCCGTTCACCACACATCCCTGTGGAATGGCAAATAAACCCAGTGGTTTAATAAAAAAAAAAAAAAAAAAAAGAGAAAAAGGAAGATTTAGCATTGTACTGGGTTTCCTTTCCTTTCCTTAAGTGCTTCCTTTGGATCTTGGGAGAAGAGCTCAAGAGCAGGGAGCAGTTGTACCAAAAGGCGTGGGAGGCCGGGTCAAGGAAGAGTCACTTGGTTGTTATGTGGGTGTGAAAAGCCTATGAAAAGGAAAGGGTGGAGGAAAATATTTTACTTGAATTAAACAAATAGAGGAGAACGTTATATGAATTACATATTCAAAGATACATTTTTGCCAAGTATTTTTGTGAATTAACTGCGTATCTCCTGAAAATCATTTATTTAACCGTAACCTTATCAGAATGTTCTCAGGAGGGAATTTTTTTTTTTTTCAAAGCCAAAAAAAAAAAAAAGTCATTGTTTTATTATCACTTCAGATGAAAAGAAAGGAAGTTGCAAATTTTTATTGCCCCTAAATTGTTAACTGTTAAACCTGTATTGAAGCAGTGGGTCAGATTTCCTCAGGCTCACAGTGGAGCAGTTTCACGTGCTGAGAAATGCCAAGCGGGCCCTGTTTGAGGAGGAGGAGTCTTAGATCTTCATCTCATTGTTTCGTGTCCACCTGTGGGACAGGGAAACTGCTGCTCTTGAAAATCACCTGTTTTGGGGAATGGCCTGTTGCCATTGATGCAGTGCACAGGGGTGGTTTGCACCCAAAATAATTGAAAAAATCATAATTTGAAACCAGATTTTTTTTTTTTTGCATAGAATTGTAGAATATGGTCAAGCGTGCAGTATCTCCATTTATTTGTTTTTAAAATAGCACTTAGTATTATTGAACTAGACTAAATTAGATGTTGTGAAGGTAACATTTTTCCATGCCTTTTGTTATTATCTTGAGCCAAAAAAAAAAAGGCAGCACATGCAGGTAACTTTAACAGCATTTTGTTGCAGAAGCAGAATATTGCTTCTTACATTAGTTAGTGAAAGTCTTGATTTTTTTTTTTTAAAAACGAGGCAAACAAACAAAAATCAATAACAACAACAAAAAGTCTTTATTATAAATAACAGCTTTTGGAACACAAGCCATAAATTTCATGTAAAGAAAAACTTAACACAGTCCAAAATTGGATGCACAGGTTTGTTATGTGATGTTTTGTACTAAACCAACACAGTCCTTGATGTTTTGGTTCTGAGCAGTGTTTTGTTAGTGTTGATTTGTACTCATGTCTGAGGGATTCCCGTGTGGAAGTTCACAGGCAGTTGTTTGTTTTGTAAATTTTTTCAGGGTTTTTTTTATGGCCCGTAGCTATCCAACTGCAGAGCTTGCAGCTGAAGTTTGTGTAGGAAATGGTGAGCTCAAAATTGGACCTGGAAGAAAGGAGTGAGGAGCGCTTCCTCTTCCATCGCTCCACTGGAATGGTAATCAGAGAATCACAGAGCGGTTTGGGTTGAAAGGGACCTTAAAGCTCATCCAGTTCCAACGCCCTGCCATGGGCAAGGACACCTTCCACTAGACCAGGTTACTCAGAGCTCCATCCCACCTGGCCTTGAACACTTCCAGGGATGGGGCATCCAGAGCTGGATATATGTCTGCTGCCAAACTGGGACACCTCTGGGCAGTGCTGCCCATCCCATGCTGGGACTTAAGGATTCCCTGATGCAGTAAATGGACATTAGCAGGCAGTTTTCACTTCTAACTGAGTTTGGGCACCTGAATTGTATCTTTAAGAACCCAGGCAGCTACAGAAATTCCCCATATGACCTGTTATTACAGGCTCAGGTGAGAGTGTATGTGCAGTTCTGTTGCCAAAACATGAGGTTGGCAGAAGTGAGTCATAACTGGGAAGATCTCAGCTCTGCTCTTTGATTTGCTTTTATCCACCAAATATAAAAATACTTCCAAGAATACGGGTAGGAATATGCTGCTCTCCTGTTAGGGCAAAGCTCTCACTGGCTCTTAGGTGTGTTTACATAGCTCATAGGATGTATTTTTTAAGATTTAGTATAAAAGGAGCTATGTATACATTTTATCTCATCTTCAGTGCAGTAGGCATGAGCAGTTCCTGGAGAAGGGACCAGAATATAGGGCTCTACCCCTTCTCCTGGGAGTCTCTTTCCCATGGAGTCATACTTGCCCTCCAGGGCTTTCTCATTATGGCTTTGTGAGTTTTGAATTCCTCTGTGAGCTGGCCTGGCTCCAGGGGGAGGGCAGAAAGCAGCCTCAGCCCAAGCTCTGCTTCAAGTCTGCTGGTCCAAGGACTTTGTAGGAGGTGGGATCTGCAGGAGGAAAAGTGCCCAGCCCTGGGAAAAGTGCCCAAGCTTCCCAGGTGAGCTCTTATCCACTGGATTACCGTTTAAAGGTGACAGTATTGTCTTTTTTGGACATGTTTTTAGGTTGCAGTGGTTGTTGGATATCGTTTTGCCGTTGATATTTTAGTGTGAGCAGAGTGTACCTGCTCTGCAGGTTTCACATGTGGTTTCAGAGTCTGCTTCTTTCTTGGTCACTTCTGATGACCACGTGGCCTTGGGGCGAGCCCGCTCAGCTTTGCTGATCTGGTTGGAAAAAAGAGATTTTTCTTCTCTGTTTCTTTTCTTTTGAGAAATGAGAACTGCTCCATCTCATGGCTTGGCTGCTAGTGCTGATGGGGAGGTAGCAGGAACTCATGGCCAGAAGCGAAGGAGGAGGTGAGACTGTCACTTTCAGTGAC